TCTTTCTTTCTGTCAGCTTCAACTTACTGGCCAGAGTTGGACAGTTCCTGAATTAGCGCTATAGGTAAGGTGACGAAAAGATCAATATAGAAAATGCCACTTGGCATTCTAAGATGGGATTTGTTTTACTAACAGAGGCCAGGACTCCTAAAGGTTATAACTGAGACTAATAATACAGGCTAGTCTCACCCTAGAGGATGGGAACTCACTGATAACAATTTTACTGTAAAAATGTGTTGGCCACAGGGGTGTACTGCACAAAAAAAAGAGTGAGCCCAGCAGGATTAAGACTACTTAGAATTACCTGATTTCAAGGTTGAGTCTTGGCCAGCGTTTAGGAACTTGGATTTGGTGAGGGTTCCTACAATTCCAAGAACTGATAAGAGTGGCTCACTGTGTCAGACCTATTTGTACAAATATTGTGATTCATGAGAATACCTGCTTTCCTTCTGATAGCCTGGAATTTTAGTAACTGGCAGGTGGAGGGTGCTACATGATTAGCCTCAATAAAAACCCTGGGCACCGAGTCTCTAATGAGCTTGACATTTCATATGTATTGCCATAATTCATTGCTAAAAGAATTAGGAGCATCCTGTGTGACTCTGCTGGAAGAGGCCTCTTGGAAGTTTGCACCTGGTTTATTCCAGATTTTCTCTCATGAAACTTTTTCCTTTACTGATTTTGCTTTGCAACCTTTTGCTATAACAAATTATAGCCATGATAATGACTCTAGATTGAGTCCTATGAGTTCTGCCCCTGATGGGAATGGTCTTAGGAACCCCTGACACACAGGGCTACTATTTTTGTACTGTATATTGCAAACAATTTTGCTGCTTCTCTTAGATTATATAACTGACATGGAAGTTCTGAAATACTAAACCGAGAATAGATACACAGCCATGCTGTTTGGATAACTACTCTCTTGGTCAAGTACCTGAACTTGGGATGAACTGTGCAAACCTACCATTCAATAATATTCCATATAAAAAAAGTAAGCATAAATTACTCTCAAAACAAAATTTGACGCATGCAGGGATGCTATGGAATGCCAATATGTCTGGTTAAAAAAACATTGGGCACCATAGTTGACTATTGAAGCTTCAACAATGAAAAAAACAACTGTACCCCCTACTCAAGTCTTTGTCATTACACCAGCTATTGAATACATTGCCACCACTACAGATACATGTTGTAGCAAAACATGCAACATACCTTTACTATTCCTTCTTGGGAATATTTGAATTCCTGACATACATTTTTAACAGCTGGAATAAAACTAGCACAATGCTAACTGGTAGCAATTTAAAGACATTCTATTACATAGAGGACAGTGGCCCAACACTAAAGAAGTACTGCTTGTTTTCTAGGCATATCTGATTAAAGATAATTTTAAATGAAAACACAAGCCAGGTCCTGTCATTCAAATGAATTTTGGGGAGGGGATCATTATTTGGACAGTACCAAGAAGACAAATTTATTGGCCCTGCAGCCCCCAGCCACAAAGGACTTTCTTCTTTAGGTACTGATCACATCACATTCTACACGTAGTAACTCTTCAAAGTATCTGTATCACAGTAACTAATTTTAAATGGAAGCTCCCACATTAAGAAGTTATGGAAGAGTTTCAGGCATCACAAAAACAAGTTTTAACTTTATATCTGCCATATTCTTCAGACTCATGGGATTACAGATACTTGACGTAAGCTAACTTTTACTGACCGGAGCTTTTGGCAACAATACTTCAAATTATTTGTCAGCTCCTGGGTCTCTGAACTCAATTACTTCTTCCCACTGCTAAATATCACATGCCTTTGGCCTATTACTGGGCCTTAATGTGGCACGTTTTCTCACTTTTCAACCAAACATTCCTATTCCATGATGGATCTTCTCTAAAATCTCATAAGGTGGTAGAAGTCTGGGAAAATTCTATTAAAAAGGCAACTGACTTAGCACATTCAATCAAGGGCCAATCCTAGTCCTTAAGACCTTGGCCAAATTAACAAAATATGTCCACACACTCACTAGACACAGAGATACTCCCCTGCTGTTTTAACCAAATCACTGACTTAGACCTCTGCTTACAAGATTTGCCACCAGACAAGAAAATGATTCACTGATCCAACAGCCTCTCTCAAAGATCCTAAAATCTAATGAAGTGCTGCATTTATCCACCACAATAACGGTAAGTTGTTAAAATCCCATGGAATTGTACATTCTTCAAAACTAGGTGAATTTCAGGCATCGTTCATAGCCACGGAGTACACTCTTAGATTGAATTATACTTTCATTGCTAATGGTCTAGTTGCATGGGTCAGGTCATTAGGCCACCCAGGACAAAACTATTAAATACACATACTTTCCCTACATTTTCCCTGAGACATTCCCTACACAAGGAAATAGGTAGAACAACTTAAGTAACAAACCCAATCCTTATTTTTTATGTGTACATTGCCCACGAGAAGGAACTAAATCTAAATGAAAATATCTGAAATGAAAAAGCCAATCAAGAATGTATGACCATCATGTCTACTATGGACTTGGGGCCATCTTCAAATTTATACTGCCATGAAGGAATAAGATGTTTAATAGGGAATTTATCTAGAAGACAGAGAAGCCACTGTTGCCCATCAACCCCATTCTATTTGCCATCTAACTCACTTTCTTTAAAAACAACCTCTGTAGCACTTGTCAATCCAGCTTCCCCTTGTTGTTTACAAGTTATAGGTTGCCATACCCTGTAAGGGCCTCTCTGCAATGGTTGAACTCCACTGCACTTTGGAAATAAAGAGTGAAAGAAAATATTGTTTCAAGATAAATAATATATTCCCCTTCTTTTTTTCACTCTTGCTATGATCTCAGTGGAATGGACAAAGCACACTGTTCATTTAAAAGATGGACATTATGGGGCGCCTGGGTGGCGCAGTCGGTTGAGCGTCCGACTTCAGCCAGGTCACGATCTCGCGGTCCGTGAGTTCGAGCCCCGCGTCGGGCTCTGGGCTGATGGCTCGGAGCCTGGACCCTGTTTCTGATTCTGTGTCTCCCTCTCTCTCTGCCCCTCCCCCGTTCATGCTCTGTCTCTCTCTGTCCCAAAAAAATAAATAAATGTTAAAAAAAAATAAAATAAAAAAAATAAAAGATGGACATTGTGTTTGCATCATATTCTTCTGCAAGCATCCTCTTTTAACCCTGCAGGTGACTTCTGAGGGAAAATAGTAACTTTGGGGTCCCTGCTGAATTTATCATTGCATAACAATGACAACCTCATCTCTAGGAAGGAATAACAGATCTCAGTTTGTCAGGTGTGAACATACCTGACCTTGGGAAATGGTTGGAGAGGGGATATCAAGGGAGATAAAGAATAAATTTCTCTCTTACTGCAGATATTATATAGATATTCCAAAAGGGCCATTTTTGACCATTCAGGAAGTAAAGCTTATAATGACTCTGTGTGTTTGTGTGTATGTGTGTACACATGTGTGCATGTATGTGTTTATGCATCCACGCTGGTTTTGCACCCAAACCTAACCCACCGTGGACCTTACTGGCATCTTTCTCCCAAGCAATACTGTGGAAATCGTTGTAAGAACCCGGTGTCAGCCAGACCTAATGAAAAGACGTATTAGTAAGACCCCAAGACCAAGAAGCGGACAGAGGAAAGACAAATCTCTGTTAGGGGATGGCCCTGGCGGCTCTCTCCATTCTCTCTTTTGGTTGTTTGGCAGAACTGGCTCACCAGGACTGTTGAATGGAAAAACAACTCTCACTGATACCAGTTATGTTAATATACAAATGCTTACTCCTCCAGGAGTTACCTTTTTCTAACAAGACCATTGCCCTAAGCAGCCCTAACCACTGTAACACGATTGACTAGATGTTCTCTATCCCCTCCCAACTCCTCTATAGTTTTGTAGTGTTATGTGAGGAGGAAATCCCTCTCAGGAGCACTTCCTATGGAGAATTCAATGTGCTTTTCCAGGGAATAATGATAGTTTAGGAGATATTGTACCCCTCACTATTTCTTCATTTGTAAGATTTCCTCTATAAAATCTACCTTACACCTACAATTGGGGCCACTAGTAATATGTTTCTTGCACAACCATTAACTGAGGAAATTATAAAGTCTCCTTTAGAGTTTTTAAAAAGGTAAAAAGGGAGGTAAAAAAGGTAAAAGGTAAAAAGGTAAAAAAGGTCTCTATTTTTAGTTTATTCTGGTAAAAATTGGAAAGGGGCAAAATATTTATTTCTTAATTAGATAATCTCTTTTCTTGATGCATAATACCTTCCTTGATCACCCAATCTAAATTATCCTCCCCTGTGACTCTATCAGAAAGGGAGTTTTATTATCTTCATTTATTATTCTTTAAAGTTATCTTGTTCATGTATTTCCACTTGTTTATTGCCTCTCTTTCCCACTATAATGTAAACATTATAACACTATATAACACTATAACATTATAACAGTATATAACACTATAATATAAACATCACAAGAGAAGAGAGCTTATTTGTGTTATTTATCCATAAAATCCAATGTTCAAAAGAGTACCTGACATATGAAGGTGACAAAAATATTTGTTGAATGATTAAGTTTAGTGAATAAATGAATGAGTAAATTTAATAGCTACTCATCTAATCTATGAAGGAAAAAATGGACACATATTAATACCCTTTCTCTTTTGTATTTATGTTTTTGTGTTTAATAATAAATTTAATTAGTATTGGGGAAGAAAGTTGTAAAAAAACATTTAGAAAAAAGTTGGATGTGTAACTCTTAAAAATAAAACACCAAAAAATAGTTAACATTTTCATATCCAAAAAGTGTAAAATTTCAATGCCATAAAACATTTAAGAAAAGCTAACACCACATATGATATGAAACATAATTACTAACATCTATTGTGTTGATTAAACATTTGCCATTAACTCATTCTCTAAACCAAAATGAACGGCTCAATGCTGTAAAGCGCAAAAAAAAAAATGTACTTTATTGTAATCAATACCATATGTCTGTTCAGGTGGGATCTCCTTGCTTCACTCGCATCCATTCTCTGAAGGTTTGGGAGACTTTTCCAAAGAATTTCAGAAATTCTATTAGGATCTAAGAAGTAACCCAAAATGAAGTTTGATGAATAATATTATGTCATGGGCTTAACGGTTTGAATTTTTATTATATTTAGCAATATTCAACTTACAGCTGTTAAGGGAAATACTATAAAACCTATCAAGCTAAAGCAACCTATTTCATGTCCTATCTCCCATTTTCTACTCAGTTTAAACTTAAAAAAAAAATTACTGGTCTTTCCCTGGCACACTGTATAGATTCTAAACACCCTTGTCTTTGCTTCAACTGTTCAGTCCACACATAACACCTTTTCTTCATATTTCCCTGTTAAAATCTAACCCAGCTACCTTTCTTAAATTAAATGCTGTTACTCTCAATACAGCCAGAAACAACTTTTCCTTCTTTTTGGTGCATCTCTTGGTAACTTTTTATTGAAGGCATCTTCTGCATTATAATGTACTTATTTATGTACATGTCTTGTCTGTCTTACTAGAATATAAATGCATTGAGGGCAAAGATGATACAGTTGCCATCTTTGTATTATATATATATATATACATAATACCTAGCTCAGTGCTTTGCACAGCATGGACACTCAGTCCACATTTCCCTGTTTGAACTAAATTTAATGGAAATAATTTCCTCATGAAGTTAGGGAATACTGTATGAATTAACATTAATAGGGGAAAAAGCCATTTAAAAGGAATTTTTTGATATTCATTCTATGGCCTTTTTCTGTTCTTAATGTCCTATATTCCCTATCATCCTCAGTCCACTATTCCCCATACAACCCTTCTTTCATTCTTCCACTTCATATTACTCTTAATTGTGACTTATTGGCCAATAAGTCTGGGCTGGCCAGAATAGTAACTCAAAGTAACACTATCATAACCCTTCTTCAAGATTTTTCCAAAAGCTCATACACAGTATCTGAGACTGCCTTTACTATGCCTTCATAGAAAGTAGAAATTCTATTTAAAATGATTTCATTTAAGCCAATATTTCTACATTCTGAGATTCACCAAATGTATAGTCTATCAAATTCAGCAACAGCAACTAAACATTCAATATTTAAAAAAAAAACTTACATGAAAAGTTATCACTTCATGTTCTTCAGGGTGACAAATTATTAGCTTTCCAACATTTTCAAATCCTATACTTCACCATGTGTCCACAGAAAAACTACAGTAGTATGCCATACTCTACCATAATCTTAACATGAATATAAGAGTATCATGCTTTATTTGTTTCTATTCCTACAGTTCATAAGCTGGTTAAGTTCCAATTAAAGTTGAAGACAATTATTAATAATTTTTCTTATATCTTATCACATAGTCATAATACTGACCATATATAATCATAATGTGAAGTAATAAATGACAAGAACTCTACCCATAAGTTTATAAAGCAACAAATAAATGTATAATCTTCTCCTGAGGTATCAAAAAAATACTTTTAAAATTTAGTCACTTCACACATTAAACTGGACCTTTTCGAAACTTCTGGCCATTAATCATTAAATTTATTACCTAATTCTTGCTAATTCATCTGGGTCTGTAATCTAGAAACATTAAAAATAGTAATGAAGCAGAGAAATGCACACTACTAGATAATACTTTCCTCTTTTCTGTATGGCAGCCAAGGTCAAAATTAATAATTCAAGTCAATGACTGAAAAGAAATATTGACATAGTTTATTCTCATTGAATAGCTACCTAACTTATTGACAGAATTTGCTGTTTCACTAATCTATGTGGTTCAGGATTTCTGTTTCTTGACTGGTTTGTGAATAGGTCTGTGAATCATAACATATTAATCAAACAGACTCACTCACTAGTGAAAACTTTAAGATTAATTGGATACATCAACCAACTCAATTATTTATGTGCATGCAATAATGAATGATTAAGCAAAAATGAAATGCAAAAAAAAATTTTAAGTGAGTTGTTTCATGTACAGAGGTCATGATTCTGAATGAGGTAAGTAATCCCACTCATAAGTGTTTTTCCCAAGATAAAAAAAAAAATGTTTTTACACAAAAAATCATTTTTTTAAAAAGGGTCATGTTCAGTTTCTATATGAAAATTTAATTGTTGTTGGGGCAGGGGCATGAGGGAAAATGGCTTTGTACATCAGATCTGGTCCTTAGTATACACTTTTCACTTAAAATTTTGTATTTTCACAGTATCCAAAATTGTCAATCTTTGACAACATCTACAGTTTAGACATTAGTTTCAAAGAGTACAATATTGTAAGCAAAGATATAAATCAATGAGTTTTATGATACTGAATTTAGAATGGATATTTTGCCATTTAGGCACATAAACTGACAAAGATTAAAGAATATTTTTAAATGTTTTACCTTTTGTCAGCTGGGCTTCCATTTGTGAAAATTGAGATCTGTAATAAAGAATACTAAATTTAAATACACTAAATATGCACAGCAAATGTTTATATTAAATTATTCAGAAAAATATCATTCAAAGCAGGTTTTAAAATATGACAATTTGTAAGATTAACGTGTCAAAAAAGCTAAGAAATTACCATAGTTGGCATTGGAAGAAATATTTTAGAAGATGAACTACTACCAAAATTATATTTCTAAATGAAAGCAAAGAGGGCTTTATATTTATAATAAATAAAAACTATTTAAACATATCCATTACATAATTAAATATATCCATCACATAATTGTTCAATCTTTTTAATATTCTTTTGAAATATTTATACTTCAAATGCCAATAGTATACTAACATGGTGATACTAACACATAGTATACTAATATGATAGTGCTTTTTTATAATTTAAAAAATTTGTAGGGGTACCAGGATGGCTCAGTTGGTTAAGCAACCAACTCTTAGTTTTGGCTCAAGTCATGATCTCACAGTTCATTCCTGAGATGGAGCCCTGCACTGGGCTCTGTGATGACAGTACAGAGCCTGCTCTCTCTTCCTCTCTTTCTCTGTCCTACTCCCCCCACCCCCCACCAAAATAAATGAATAAACTTTCAAAAAGTAAATAACTTGTAAAAGTATATTGAGAATCCATGCTCAAATCTGGATGGAACTGGAGAGTGTGATGCTAAGTGAAATAAGTCATACAGAGAAAGACAGATACCATATGTTTTCACGCTTATGTGGATCCTGAGAAACTTAGCAGAAATCCATGGGGGAGGGGAAGGAGAAAAAAAAAGGTTAGAGTGTGAGAGAGCCAAAGCATAAGAGACTCTTAAAAACTGAGAACAATCTGAGGGTTGATGGGGGGTGGGAGGGAGGGGAGAGTGGGTGATGGGTATTGAGGAGGGCACCTTTTGGGATGAGCACTGGGTGTTGTATGGAAACCAATTTGACAATAAATTTCATATATTGAAAAAAAAATGAAGTCTAAGACAAAAAAAAAAGAAAAAAAAAGAGAATCCATGCTCAAAATATGCTTATCAAGGTGTTTGATCAAAAATGTAGGAATCTAGGACCTCAAGAGTGTGATTTTATTAATAGATTACCTCTTGGGAAGAGAACATGTTTTCCTGTAGCATAATGGGGATACTAGATTTTATCCCAGGCCTGAATTTTACCTAACTCAGTTTCTTTCATACAGAGATTAGCTAGCTTTATCCTTACCCACCTGTGGCAAAGAGTTCTGGTGTTCAACAAACTAATTTTCTTTTCTTAAGGCACATTACTAGTCTACATTTCTAAGTCCCTCCTGCAATTAAAGGTGGTAAATTAATTATGAGAGAAAATGATGTGTACCCCCTTCCAGCCTGGTCAGTGAAAATGACTCATGTCTGGTCTTTCATCTTCTTTTCTAGTAGCTGGATGTCTATGCCCAATATGGCCCAGCAAGCCAATGTAAGATGTCAAAACCTCCATATACCAGGATACCTGAATCAACCTATAGAGCAGGACTCCCTAACACAAACACACCTGAACTTCCCAGAAGTATTTACATGAGGAAATAAGTTTCTATTGTATGTGAGTCATTGCCTATATGTGACAAGAGTTGGCCTATATACTAAGTAATATACCACCGTGGGTTTTCATATGGCCTATGTAGATAACTAGACAGAAATAAATGATAATAAAGGCTAACATTCACATAGTCCTTCATGATATACAAAAGCATTTCATAAACATTATCCCATTTTATGATAACATTCTTATACAGTATTATCATCCTCCATCAACTAAGAGTTTTATAGAAAAATATGTTTTGGGGCGCCTGGGTGGCTCAGTCGGTTAAGCATCCGACTTCAGCTCAGGTCACGATCTCGCGGTCCATGAGTTGGAGCCCTGCATCGGGCTCTGGGCTGATGGCTCAGAGCCTGGAGCCTGCTTCGGATTCTGTGTCTCCCCCTCTCTCTGCCCCTCCCCCGTTCATGCTGTCTCTTTCTGTCTCAAAAATAAATAAACAAAAAAAATTTTTTTTTAAAAGAAAAATATGTTTATATCCTGATACATAGAAATGAAAATAGGTCTTACCCTAACCTCTGCTTTAAAAAAGACTACTACTACAATAAGCAGCTTTAAAAATAGGTATGAAAACAAAGAAGAACTACTTCTGACATATCATTAAGATGTAAATATGACAGGCCTTTTATGCATGTAATCTAATGTTCAGTAGTAGGAGTTCTAAATATTTTTCTTTCACTCCTTTTAGATTTTAAGTTTCTGTCACTAGTGGCACAGAGTGATAGGCTGGGAGATTCTGGCACACATACACATAAACTCTCATTTTGAAAACAACAAGGAAGAACACTAAAGAATATGAAATACTATTAAAGAAATGAGAGACCTGACAATAGCTATACTGCCACAACAAGGACAAGCAAAATTGTCTTCTCTACAACTTTGCTTTCTTTTCTTGAACTCTTCCCATTATTTACCAATAAAGTTGCTTCTGTGTAGACTATTTTACTCTTCTAAGGCATGAATCTATTCTGAATCTATTATATTGATAAATCTATTGATCTACTATGAATCCACTACACAGCAGAAGCAAAAATAAATTCTTCTTCAAGAGTTTTTTCTCCACAGATAATAGCTGTACTTGCAGTGAGCAAAGCATAACACATCTACTTAACAAATCATTATGTTGTATACATGAAACTAATACATTGTGTGTCAACTGTACTTCAGTAAAAAGATAAATGTGAAGAGAGCTTTTCCCCATAGTTTTGCATTTATATTTAATTTTATTAACTTATAGCAAATTCTCTTTAGTCTATGAACTCCTATTTTTTTCTGGCTCTCAAATCACAGGTGTTTATTAAATGATCATTCAAAACTAATACATATCTAATTTATAAATTTGTATTTGATAATGAATTGTGATAACCAAATGTAAAAGGCAAAAAGTCCAAGCCAAAACAAACAAACAAAAAAAAACAGGGCACAGGATTTTTGTAAAAAACATATACAAATGGAGTAAACAAAAATATAAAAGACAAACTTCTTACAGCACATATTACCATTTTTCTTTCTTGTACTGTTTCCTCTATTTTGGTAAATTCCTTACCTGTGAATGTTCTTGGATTTTTGCATTTGTCTTTTGTCTACCTGAAGCTGTAACTAATGCTTCCCTTGTCTCTTTTTCCAATGGTATATGTTTTGAATCTTCAACTTTTATTTTGCTAATACCCATTTCCATTGTTGTCTTGGTCTTCTCTTCACTATTAAGTAATTCCTTCTCTTGATTTAGGAAATAGTCAAGTTGATGCTTAGCGCTTTCAGCTTCCTGTTTGTAAAAAAGTAACCATTTATCAAGCATTTATTTGTGACATTTTTCTGACAATATTACAACTTTCAATAATCTCACTATATTCACATCCACATTATTTTTCAACTTTATTTGTACTAAGCTGGAGGAAGCTAAATTAAACCATGGCTATAATCCACAGTTTAATCCATAATTAAAATTAAAAACTGTGAAAACATCTTTCACTTTGAGGACTATTATTTTTTTTAAATACCTATTATTTTTTTAAAGCTCTAATTATTACAGAGGCATAATAAAGAATAAAAGGTATATATTATAAAATGTGATAGACTGTAACCAGTATAATTAATACCTATAATATCAAATAAAAGAAAATGTGGAAAATAATTTTTTCTAGAATATAATTTTTCTTTAAAAATGCCACTTTTAATAATTTTTTAGTTACTTAGATCAACAAAAATAAAGTTCACAAATAATCTCACCATAAACAGAAAACTCACTGTTAACATTTGATATATCTTTTTCCATTGTTTCTAAATGTAGCTAATACATATATGTATTTTTAAAATTTTTATCTATACTGGATTCTACTATACATATACAATATGTTTTCTATTAAATAATGTTATAGATATGTTTCAATGACAATTAATAAACATCTAAATTAGAATAGCTAATGAAAGTACATTTAATAGTATACTTTTATTTAGCAATATTTTTTATGAGTGGACACAGTGGTAAATTTTTGCTCACAAAATTTTTTATATTATACTTACTTAAACAAAATCACTTTACACTCTTTTCTTCTTTATGATAAATTTTTATAAGTGCAATGATTCAATGAAAGGCCTATGTCATCCTCAAACTTTTGCTGTGTATTTTCTTACAGAAAAGTATTAATTCATAATAATAGAGTAACATAAAAGATTACTCATTTCAACATACATCCACAAATACTAGACATTTCTGTTCCTAAGATTTTTACCGAAATGGTAGATAAAAAAATTCTACCCACTATTATTTTAATTTTCATTTATTTGATAACTAGTGAGGTTGAATATATTCATATGCATTTACTACACTTTTGTGTTTCTAAATTATCACCTGCCTAATTGTGTCCTTTGTCTATGTAGGGGAAGGGCTACTCATAATTTTCATATATTTGTAAAAGATATTCATATAAAACATTTTCTAAAGAATTGCATTTCTCTTTATATCTCATGATTTTTTACCATATAAAAGTTTTAAATTTATAGTAGCCAAATACACTAACATATTCCTTTGTTAGTAACATAATGCTTAGAAAACCTTGCTCTAGCCAAGACCATCTAACTGCTTCCCAGTATTCCTTCTAAGATCTTCATACATCATTTATTAATTTTGATTCTTAAATCAATCTACAATTTATTTTGGTGTATCTCATGATACATGAGAATTATTTTTTCATAGTGGTTTACTTTTTGTGACTATTTTACCTTTCTATGAAAAATTTTCTTTTTATTTTTTTAATATGAAATTTATTGTCAAATTGGTTTCCATAAATACCCAGTGCTCATCCCAACAGGTGCCCTCCTCAATGCCCATCACCGACCCTCCGCCACTTCCACCTCCCATCAACCCTCAGTTTGTTCTCAGTTTTTAACAGTCTCTTATGCTTTGGCTCTCTCCCTAACATTTTTTTCCTTCCCCTCCCCCATGGTCTTCTGTTAAGTTTCTCAGGATCCACATAAGAGTGAAAACATATGGTATCTGTCTTTCTCTGTATGACTTATTTCACTTAGCATCACACTCTCCAGTTCCATCCACGTTGCTACAAAAGGCCAGATTTCATTCTTTCTCATTGCCACGTAGTACTCCATTGTGTATATAAACCAAAATTTCTTTATCCATTCATCAGTAGATGGACATTTAGGCTCTTTCCATAATTTGGCTATTGTTGAAAGTGCTGCTAAAAACATTGGGGTATATATGCCCCTATACATCAGCAGTCCTGTATCCCTTGGGTAAATTCCTAGCAGTGCTATTGCTGGGTCATAGGGTAGGTCTATTTTTAACTTTTTGAGGAATCTCCACACTGTTTTCCAGAGCGGCTGCACCAATTTGCATTCCCACCAACAGTGCAAGAGGGTTCCCATTTCTCCACATCCTCTCCAGCATCTATGGTCTCCTGATTTGTTCACTTTAGTCACTCTGACTGGTGGGAGGTGGTATCCCAGTGTGGTTTTGATTTGTATTTCCCTGATAAGGAGTGACGTTGAACATCTTTTCATGTGCCTGTTGACCATCTGGATGTCTTCTTTAGAGAAGTGTCTATTCATGTCTTCTGCCCATTTCTTCCCTGGATTATTTGTTTTTCAGGTGTGGAGTTTGGTGACTTCTTTATAGATTTTGGATACTAGCCTTTTGTCTGATATGTCATTTGCAAATATCTTTTCCCATTCCGTTGGTTGCCTATTAGTTTTGTTGATTGTTTCCTTTGCAGTGCAGAAGCTTTTTATCTTCATGAGGTCCCAATAGTTCATTTTTGCTTTTAATTCCTTTGCCTTTGGGGATGTGTCAAGTAAGGAATTGCTACAGCTGAGGTCAGAGAGGTTTTCTTTCCTGCTTTCTCCTCTAGGGTATTGATGGTTTCCTGTCTCACACTCAGGTCCTTTATCCATTTTGAGTTTGTTTTTGTGAATGGTGTAAGAAAGTGGTCTAATTTCATTATTCTGCATGTTGCTGTCCAGTTCTCCCAGCAACATTTGTTAAAGACTGTCTTTTTTCCATTGGATATTCTTTCCTGCTTTGTCAAAGATTAGTTGGCCATAATTTTGTGGGTCTTATTCTGGAGTCTCTATTCTATTCCATTGGTCTATGTGTCTGTTTTTGTGCCTATACCATGCTGTCTTCATGCTTACAGCTTTGTACTAGAGGCTAAAGTCTGGGATTGTGATGCCTCCTGCTTTGGTCTTCTTCTTCAAAAATACTTTGGCTATTCGGGATCTTTTGTGGTTCCATACAAATTTTAGGATTGCTTGTTCTAGCTTCAAGAAGAATGCTGGTGCAATTTTGATTGGGATTGCATTGAATGTGTAGATTGCTTTGGGTAGTATTGATATTTTAACAATATTTATTCTTCCAACCCATGAGCATGGAATGTTTTTCAATTTCTTTGTATGTTCTTCAATTTCCTTCATAAGCTTTCTATAGTTTTCAGCATGCAGATCATTTACATCTTTGGTTAGGTTTATTCCTAGGTATTTTATGATTCTTGGTGCAATTATGAACGGGATCGGTTTATTTGTCTTTCTGTTGCTTCATTATTAGTGTATAAGAATGCAACTGATTTCTGTACATTGATTTTGTATCCTGCAACTTTGCTGAATTCATGGATCAGTTCTAGCAGACCGTCAGGTTTTCCATGTATAATATCATGTCATCTGCAAAAAGTGAAAGCTTAACTTCATATTTGCCAATTTTGATGCCTTTGATTTCCTTTTGTTGTCTGATTGCTGATGCTAGGACTTCCAACACTATATTAAACAACAGTGGTGAGAGTGGATATTCCTGTAGTGTTCCTGATCAGGGGGAAAGCTCTCAGTTTTTCCCCGTTGAGGATGATATTAGCTGTGGGATTTTCATAAATAGCTTATAATGTTTAAGTATGTTCCTTCTATCCCGACTTTCTCAAGGGTTTTTTATTAACAAAGAATCCTGAATTTTGTCAAATGGTTTTTCTGCATTGATTGACAGGATCATATGGTTTTTTTTCTTTTCTTTTCTTCTTTTCTTTTCTTTTCTTTCTTTTCTTTCTTTTCTTTTCTTTCTTTTCTTTCTTTTCTTTTCTTTTCTTTTCCTTTCTTTTCTTTCTTTTCTTTTCTTTTCTTTTTTTTCTTTTCTTTTCATGTGATGTATCACATTGATTGATTTGCAAATGTTGAACCAGTCCTGCAGCTCAGGAATAAATCCTACTTGATCATGGTGAATAATTCTTTTTATATGCTGTTGTATACGATTTGCTAGTATCTTGTTGAGAATTTTTGTGTCCATATTCATCAGAGATATTGGCCTGTAGTTGTCTTTTTTTGCCGGGTCTCTGTCTGGTTTAAGAATCAAAGTAATACTGGCTTCATACAATGAGTCTGGAAGTTTTCCTTCCCTTTATATTTTTTGGAACAGCTTGGGAAGGATAGGTATTATCTCTGCTTTAAATGTGTGGTAGAATTCCCCAGGGAAGCCATCTGGTCCTGGACTCCTATTTTTTGGGAGATTTTTGATAACTGATTGAATTTCTTCGCTGGCTATGGGTCTGTTCAAGTTTTCTATTTCTTCTTGTTTGAGTTTTGGAAGTGTATGGGTGCATCGGAATTTCTCCATTTCTTCCAGGTTGTCCAGGTTATTGGCATATAATTTTTCATAGTATTCCCTGATAATTGCTTGTATTTCTGAGGGATTGGTTGTAATAATTCCATTTTCATTTGCGATTTTATCTATTTGGGTCCTCTCTCTTTTCTTTTTGAGAAGTCTGGCTAGACTTCAACTTTATTTTTTCAAAAAACCAACTCTTGGTTTCAATAATCTGCTCTACTGTTTTTTTTAGATTATATATTATTTATTTCTGCCCTGATCTTTATTATTTCTCTTCTTCTGGGTTTGGGGTGTCTTTGCTGTTATGCTTCTATTTCCTTTAGGTGTTCTGTTAGATTTTGTATTTGGGATTTTTCTTGTTTCTTGAGATAGGCCCGGATTGCAATGTATTTTCCTCTCAGGACTGCCTTTGCTGCATCCCAAAGCATTTGGATTGTTGTATTTTCATTTTCATTTGTTTCCATATATTTTTTAATTTCTTCTCTAATTGCCTGGTTGACCCATTCATTCTTTAATAGGGTGTTCTTTAACCTCCATGCTTTTGGAGGTTTTCCAGACTTTTCCTGTGGTTGATTTCAAGCTTCATAGCATTGTGGTGTGAAGTGTGCATGGTATGATCTCAATTCTTGTATACTTATGAGGGGCTGTTTTGTGACCCAGTATGTGAT